TCTGTAGAGCGCACGAACCATATAGAAAAAACCTCTCCAAAAAAAAAAAAAAAAAAAAGATTTATTTTGAATTCTTATAAAATGTCATTCAACAAATTGTCTTAAAGTAAATGTTATACTTTATTGGGGGTTCTGACTGCAAACATTTCAAACACTACACTTCGTCCTTGACTGTTTAAATATCCACTTCCTCTATTCTCTTGAGTGTTCAAACAAATTGGATATAATATGATTTGAAAAAATTGAACCACAGAAACATACTCCACATTCTTCATAGATAATCCTTTAATGTATAAAAACACAAGTTTTCTCGGAGGTGAAAAATATTATTAGGTGGAAATCTTTTTTCAAATTGCTTACATATGAAACTTAGGATAATTTTGATGGCCAATTTAAAAAATCTTTTGTATTTGATGTTTTATATGCAATGATTTCTGTATAAGATTATATATATATGAACTCACTAAAAATAGATCTTCATAAAATTTTGGGGACCCTGTATAATTTCATTTTTGTTATTCTCACTTTCATTATTTATTTATCATTGCAGATTAAAAAAATCAACAGAAACTTTCCTGTAAACCAGCAGGTAAGTTCAAGAAATACTTGGCAAGTTGAATCACAAATGTATTTAATTTGATCTATTTAGAAGGTAATCTTGCTATTGTCTGATTTTTATGCAGGTTTTTGTAAGGAATGTGTCTCATTTCCATGTTCTAGCACATTATTTGCTATCTGGGAAAAAAATAAATTTAAGAAATTTATTTACAATAATACTATAAGTTTCTTTCATCATATTAAATAGTATCTTTTTAAAATTTGTATCTAAATCAACTAAATTCAAAACTCCCTTTTAACAAAATAAATACATTTATTTGAATACAATTTTAGAAATTTGAGCAATGTTTTTGTAAGTTAGTTTTAGTATATTTTAACTTTTGGGAGACCTATTTTTAATTGATCTCAAAGTTCAAGGGATTTTTAGATTGGCTGACAGTCTTTCAAGTGAATCTAATTAACGCACAGAATGAAACTAATGTCCAATTAACAAAACAAAGCTTCAGTAGCTTCTTACTCTCCTCATCAACTTTGGTTTGCAATCATTGACCAAAATCCAAATATCTATGAGAGCTATTTATAAATGCTGCATTAATCATAACTGAATTTCAATGGTAAAATCTTAAAAGCTCTTCAACTTGTGAGCTTCAACTTATCTAAACCCCAATTCCCATATTTGTAACATTTGTATAAGGACAGTTTATTTTATTTTCGAGAATTAAATGATAACGTATGCAAAGTTCTCCATATGTACTATTTTTATCATTAATGCTGTTAAACGTTTAAGCTTATTCCTTGAATTTCAGAATTTTTGTTTTGCATATTTAAAACTTGATCAGTTAGTCAATTAAATCACCTTAATGTCTGCACATGAGATTCCTCTAGTGTATGTTCTTGGTCACCTTTCGTTAGGAATACGTTTTCCATTTCCTCTGTGCTTGTGGGGCCTCTCTTTCTGATCTCTCTGATAAGGTTTTGATTAGGTCCATTGTTACAGCAAACACACTAGAATTCAGTTTCCATTGATAACTGGTTTTGGGAAGCATGGAAGGGGGCCCGCAGACTTGCACTAAACTAAGCTGTGATTCGAGGGAGTGTGACGTGGTGTCCTGACAATTCTCTCAGTGTGCAGAGTCTAGTCGGCCAACACATGTCACGTTGCTGGACACACCTCATTGCTTTTACATTGCGTTTTATTCACTGTAACAAAAATCGTTCCATTCTGAAATACAACTCTATAATCCCACAAAAAGAGCACCTTACAGGGCCAGCAGGTGATGTAATGGTTAAGGTACTGGACTCCCATGTGGTCAACCACGGTTTGAGTCCTGGACCCAGAGGCTTGAAACTCATGCTGGGCATGCCCATGTCCTGGGAGGAGAATGGAAGAGAAGGTAGGTGATTTCTTGCTTTCTGTCTCTCTCTGTCTCCAGTAAGCACACATGCCCTATAGCAAAACACTCTAAAAACAAACAAAAAAAGCACCATACAGTGAATGTCTCCTATAATTACTATAAAGAATTATTTGATTTATCATTAAAATATTACTATGATGATGAGCTCCCTTTACATTAGGAACTATGCAAAATAATATTAAGTTGCTTATAAGAACTCAAATAAATAAAAAAAGTTACTCATTTTTGAAGTGTATTTACTTCTCTCTTTCACAAACGAGAGAGACAGAGGGAGACAGAGAGAGAGACAGAGAGAAAGAACAGGAAGCCAGACACTGCAGGGTTTCCGCTCCGTGATTCACGCCCGCTCGCGCCAGGCCAGATCACGGGTGTCTCTGCACTGGCATGCCCAGGGGACCCCAGAAACAAACCCGAACCTTTCCACATGGGTCGGCCTCACAGAGCATGGTGTTATCTCTACATCACCACGTGCCAAAAGTTAAACTTATTCAAAATAAATAAGATATTGGCTCAGGTAGCTTATCCTTTAGAAATATTAATACCTGACCATCTATAATAAACTGTGGACACATTACTGTGAATTTATGTAGATATATAGAGAGGGAGAAAGCATATTTAGAATGCTGGGAGACAAGAGAGTAAAAGCGATCAGTTTTCTTTAACTGTGTTGAAGAGACCTAGAAAACTAAAGAACTTTTTTTTAGAGGTTTTTGTCATAGGGTGTGTGCACTTGCCAGAGAGAGACAGAGAGACAGAGACAGTGAGAAGGAAAGTGAGAAATCACTCCCCAGGGAGGATGACCACACCACAATTCCCTCCTCCATTCTCCTGTTAGGATCTTGGGCCTGCATGCACATGTGCTCAGAGTGACTTTGAAGCCACTGGGTCTGGGATGTGAACTGGGGTCGGCATGTGGGAATCCACTGACATAATCATTATGCGATCTGCTGACACTTAAGGACATTTAAAAAACCCATTTTGGGAGTGGCATCAAAGAAGGAAGAGGAGGAAGGACTGCTCAAATTTGCTTCTTCATAAAAGCAACTACAACATGGCAGAAATGTTCAGAATCAGCCTGTTACCAAGATGGAAATTCACCAACGCTGGCCACGCCTGAGAAGTGCTGATTCCAGAGAGCGGCTGGCTCTCGTTCAGAACCGCGAGGCTGCGGCACCCCGACTCTCAGCCTCATTGCAGGGATGCGTCTCCAGCAACACAGCAGCCTTGAAGTGACCAGCTCGCTGCTGCAGGGTACCTGCATCGGAGAAGGGTGCAGTTCTAGTGAATTCACATTCTGGTCTAAGCATCATTTAAAGTAAGCTTACCTAAAATGTATAATCAAGTAAAATGCATATTTGCCTCATGCAGTTTTAGTTTCATTGGCGCTGTGTGTGTATGTGTCCGAATGTGTATTTTTAAACAAAACGTTCTGACAGTGACTCTTGTCATTGGTTTTGATATTTGAGAGGATTTCAAAATCCAGTGGATTTTATTTATTTATTTATTTTAGAGGTTTTTGTCTTAGGGTGTGTGGACTCAAAGGCAAGGCAGAGAGTCAGAGACAGCAAGAGGGAAAGTGAAAAATCACCCTTCAAGGGGGATGGCCATGCTGCCATCCCTTCTCCTCCATTCTCCTCCTGAAATCTTGGGCATGCACACATACACGCACGCCCTGCATGAATTTCAAACCACTGGGTCCAGGACTCAAACCAGGGTCAGCCATGTGGGAGTCCAGTGATGTAATTGCTGTGCCATCTCCTGGCCCTCCAGTTTACTTTCTTAGCTCGAGGAAAACCTTCTTTTAATTCTTTGTATCCGAGGCAGGCATTACTGTACTGTGCTTGGCTTTACTGCGTTTCACAGTCACTGCTGTTGCCCCGCATGGAGGATGTGGGGACAGCCCCGTGTTGAGCACTGCTAGCGGCACCATGTCTTCACTTCACCTCTCTCTGCCGCATCTTGGTAATTCTCACGGTATTCTAAGCTATGTCATCATTGTTAAATCTATGATGTGACCCGTGGTTAGTGATTTCTGATGTTACTACTGCAACTGTTTTGCAGTGCCATGAACTCTCCACACATAAGAGGTGAAATTAATTTGTAAATGCTTGTGTTCTGTCTTTTCCCATCTCTCACCCACCCCTTGGGCCTCTCTGTTCTCTGAGATGCAATGACATTAAAACTAGGCCAGTTAGTAACCCCACAATGACCTCGAAGTGTTCGAATGAAGAGTCGTGTGTCTGAGGGACCAGCAGTTAGCATAATGGTTATGTCGCTGGACACCCACGTAGTCAACGGCAGTTCGCGTCCTGGACCCGGTGGCTTAAAACTCACACTGGGCGTGTGTGCGTGCGTGCCCAAGATCGCGAGAGGAGAATGGAGGAGAAGGGATTGTGGCGTGGCCATCGCCCCCGGGGGGTGATTTCTCGCTTTCTGTCTCTCTTGTCTCTCTGCGTCCGCTCTGTCTGTCTGGCGAGCGCACGCGCCCTATAGCAAAACCTCTCCAAAAAAAAGAAAAGAGTCATGTGCCTGTCACTTTAAATGATAAAAACGGGAAATGGTTCGGCCTCATGAGGAAGGGTGCCAGAGCCTAGATAGGCTGAAATTGAGGCCTCTTGTGCTAAACAGTTCACCACGTCGAGAAGGCACAGGGCAAGTTCGTGAAGGAAATGGAAAGTAATTTAATTTTTTGCCAGTGAACACAAAAATGATAAGAAATAAAGTTTTAGTGGTCTGGATAGAAGAGCAACCAGCCACAACATTCCCTTAAGCAAAGCCTAATCCAGAGCAAGATTCTGACTTAAACTGTCCGAAGGCCAGAGATAAGGGAGCCGGGAGTAAGCCACGCCTGCAGAGGCGGGTGTGTGAGGCCTAAGGAAGCCGTCGTCTTCGTAACACGCGAGTGCGAGGTGCAGACGCAAGTGCCGGTGCAGAAGTGGCAAGTAATCCAGACGTGGCTGAGATTGCTGGTGAAGGCAGCTGCACTGACCCAGTGGCCCTCGCGTAAATGAAGCAGCCTTCGGTCTGAAGAAGATGCCAACCAGGGCGTTCCTAGCTAGAAAGGAGCAGTCAATACCTAGCTTCAAACTCCAAAGGCTGGGGAACCAGCAGTTGGCCTAATGGCTATGTCACTGGACTCCCACGTAGTCGATCATGGTTCGCGTCCCGGACCCGGTGGCTTAAAACTCACGCCGGGCACATGTGTGTGCGTGCCCAAGATCCCGAGAGAAGAATGGAGGAGAAGGGATTGTGGCATGGCCATCCCCCCCTGGGGGGGGATTTCTCGCTTTCTGTCTCTATGTCTCTCTCTGTCTGTCTGGCGAGCGCACGCACCCTATAGCGAAAACCTCTCCAAAAAAAAAAAACTCCAAAGGCTGCTCCTGTAGGACTGATGGAGACGACTCCTTTACGTGGAAGCCAGTGCTGCTTAATGGTTCCTGCAGCTCCAAGGCCCTGGAGAACCGTCCAGATCAACTCCATCTGCACTGCAGGGAACGGCAGAACCTGGATGCCCACATACGTGTGCACAGCATGGGGTCCTATGTATTTGCTGCTGAGACCTGCTATTGTGAGAAAAAGATTCCTTTCTAATTATTACTGTTCATTGACAAGAAAC